AACAAGATCAAATAATCTCTCAAAGACATTGAGATAGATAAACATACTAACAAGAAACGACATGAAAATTTGTATACCTTGATCGTGTTGTAATCTTACTCAAGTATATGTGATTATGTAGAGAGACAATGACCAACCATTACTTTGGTAGAGCTTCGTGCTGATAACGTGTTATGAAATAACAAGGAAGAGGAACATACACAAGAGTAAGAGTAGAGACACAAGAAGAGAGGGGGAATAGAGCTTTCTTATTCATATGTTCCTTAGTACAAGGAGACCATCTATTTATAGGCACACATCACATAACCTCTACATTCTTACAATCAATATACATGAATGTGAGAATGAATGTGAAATAGAAATGGGGTGGGGGGTTACATGTAACACCCAATTGTGCAACTAATGTGTCATATGGAGAATAAATATAAGGAGATGAGTTACATAGAACTTGTAACATACCATGGAGCATCTAATGTTGGTCATCCATAATAATAATAATATTTTCATAACATATTATAGGAATATAGAAATATTTAATTAGGGACAAATATGGAAGAAATATATGGATCAACCATTTCTTATGACAATTTAGGGTTTTAGTTGAGATTGAGAATCATTCATAATGAATGATTGTATTTATATGTGTCACATAAAAAACAAAAAACAATGAATTCTCGCCATTAAATTTATTGTCCAAATACAACTTCTAGAATCCCAACATTCAGATGCCCCTAAGTCTTCTTTCCAAATCATCATTTACCCTGTATTGAAGACATTTTACCATCCGATAATTACTCACAACTTGGACTATCATGGTTGGCTATTAAGACTAAGGGGTCGTTTGGATGGCACATTCTGATGGGTCAATTTGCCCCAATTGACTCAAAATGAGACAATTGGGCCAAATTGACTCATTTGGCACCCTAAAAATAAAACGAAACATTTTGACATGGGGTAATTGTAATTGCTCCATTGTGGGTCAATCTGAATTACTTGGGTGAGGGGGAGATAATCTCCTTTGACGCGTTTCTGGCCCAACTTTTCCAATTGTGACCTTGCTTTTCTCTTCCTCTCTCTTCCCCGAGACAACTTTTCCTCTTCTCCTCTTCTCCTCTCTCTCCCCGGTCTTCTTTCTTCCTTTTTTTTTTCCAGCGATGATAACAAGATCAATCTTCTTCTTCTTTTTATTTTTTGAACATCGATGATGCTGCTTCATTCACCCATTCTGTTCTGGTCTGGCGTCAAGCTACTGAATCGCCCGATCCGAACGCTGCTGCTAGAGGTCTGGAGTCGGTTGGGTCCTGGGTATCGGAAGTCCCCTTTGCCGATCCATGAGCGACCGCTGCCGACTCGCTCTATTCGCGCTCTATTGGTGGCGACCGTGATGCAAATGTAGAGGACAGCGACGATGGTGCTGCAAAGCAATCCCGGTGACCGATAATTGGGGCTGGGTGCAGAAGGGGGAAAATCGTTGCCAAACCTCGCCACCGGTGAAATTGGAACGTGAACGTAGACGATGATAAAGCGGTCTTGGCCTGCTTCCTTTCTCTTCCCTTTTTTTTCGTTTATGATTTTTGGATGCTATGTTGAAAAGGGGTTGGATTTGTTTCTGTAGCTTCGTTTCAGTCAGGACTAGATTCGGTTAAGTTTTGATTCAGGGGAAAATCTTATTGCTTGGTTGGTGAGCATTCTACCTGGGCTTGGGTTGTTTTCCCTTGCTCTGTTTCTCAAAAGATAGTCTGTGTGTGACTGGGAGCATTCTACCTGGCCTTGTGACAAAAGAGGAAGATGGAGAAGGAGGATAAGAAAACAAGGGTGAAAGTGTATTTTCATCAAATGTTTCATTTCAATTGCATCATTTCAAATAACAACCCAAACAAGACAATTTGAAACAAATATACCATTCAATTGTCTTGTTTTGTAAAATGAGACATTTATACCAAATTGTCTCATTTTGAAAATACTCCATCCAAACGACCCCTAAAGGAAATGCAAAAGATTAGCTAGTTGTTTGAGCCTATTATGTACCAGGCAAGATATGAGGCACGTGAGATCACCTCTGACTCATTATATAGAAGCATCCCTTCCCTCCTACAAACAAAGTCCTTGGGCGTGGGCCTGGGATACTCTCCAAAACTTAAGTTAGTGGGAGATAGGAGAGATGAATGAGTTTAGTGAGAGAGAGTAATTGAGTACTTGAGTTACCATTAAATAATGTACAAGGTTATTTATATCCAACCTACCAACAGTTAAGTCATTAAAGGCCATGTAAAGCATCCCTAAGAACGTCAAATCGTATAGGGAGCGCCTCAGGCGGCAATAAATATTGTGACAAGGTGATATCGAGGTATGTGGATCATGTGATATCTTTATATTGGTAATGGCAATATATACTAACTTTTATATTGTCAGGCGTCTTCCCGCCTTTGACATCCCATGGTGGACGCCCCTAATGGTACTAATGACATAGCACTTTGGAGTCTCAAACGCGGTCTTCAACAGTCAACCTTACTAGGCCATTAGGCCCAATCGGATCATCACTTGACCAACATTTGCTCCTTAGGCAAGCAAAATTGTGGGTTTTGCGTCTATAAAGGGGCTTCTTGTGATGAGCGGTTCGTTTGGCTCGAGACTAGGGAGTATCATTGCCCCCCGTTGGAAAGACGCATAGCATATCTGCCTATTGTAGTCTTGGTTTGAATACCTATTCCATCCACACGCCTTCGTGAATGTTGTGTTATTCATTGTGATTCTTGAACTTTTAGTCTTGTGTTCGTGTGCCTGCTAATAATACATAGCGCAACTCACAGACAATTCATGATTTTTGTGTTACGCAGCCTCCATGCCTCCAAGGATTATGGTATTCCCCCTACCTACAGTTAAGGAGAGAGTGAGAAATTCAAAATGAAGAAAATTAGTTGAAACTCTACTGTATATTATAGGAGAGAAGGGATGTTGGGTGGCAAAGAGTGTAATTCTACTGCCCATGTGATTATCAAGTGGGCTATTGTGCCATGCGCTTAGGGGTGTTCAAACGGTGTAGTTGTCGTGGAAACCATTTTAATCGGTAGTATTTGGAGAATTTTTTTTGGTTAATTTGGATAAAAGTTTGATTACGTTTGATTTTTTAGCTTGTTTGGTTTAGCTGGTTTGGTTTGGTTTCAAACATTCCTAACTAATCAAACCAAATTAACCAGTTAAGTAATTAACCATATATCTCATAAATATTATATCCACATACTTAATACTTTGTATAACCACTCAAGTGTCAAACGTTCCTCCCTCTTAGGCTCATAAAAAATAAAAGTTTAGTATTGTTCAATAATGTATATTTGTATTTTTATAGTGTAGACCACAATATATGGACTCCTATTTTAGATACAACTCATACAATATGTAGGATAAAGACTTGAAAGGAATGTCTATTTCAGCCTATGATAATTTCTAAAAGAATAAGTCAATTTACAAAATTCAACAATTCATTAACCTCATACCATTGACATATATTTTTGTTACGTGAATACTTCTATTGACAGTAAGATAATTGTATTAGTTACATGTATTTATGTTAATGGTTAACTTTAACTATGTGTTGATTGTTATGTTTTAATTATTATATAAATTGCGAATTGATGCATTAACTGGAGATTTTTTCACTTAATGATAATGTGATGTTATATTGGTTATTCCGACTAATCAATTAACCAAACCGATTAAGTTTTATTTTGGTTAATTTGGTTGTTGTATTTTTTTTAGCAATAGACAATGGCATTACCAAATCAAAGATACCAATGTTTACAATCCAAAAAGAAACCACCGATCAAAGTCAAAACTCGCAACAACAGCAGGTAACAAAGAAAGGGTCTTCCTGGCTACATCATGAGCCACCCGATTGTCATTCCTGCCAACAAAAGAAACACCAAAAGCACGATACTGCCGCTGCAACCCTTCAATCTCCTCAAGTATTCGCCCACCCTTCAAATCCCGAGCATCCCGTCGCTGAATCTTCTCAATAACACCCTTGGCATCCCCATAAAACCACACTTCATCAATCCCCTTCCATGAGCACCACTGAATCGCATCCCGAAATGCAACTAACTCCACTAGAAAAGGATCAAAAATACCTGCATAATAAAATCCCTTAACCATACACACACGCCCCATGCCATCGCGGACAACCAAGCCCCCCGCACCATGAGATCCCGGCGCAACCGCCCCATCCACATGACAGGAAAACGGCAACACCAGCTGCGACTGGCCCGGACCCCGACCCCCTGCCAAAATTCGACGTTGCGGCATCGGGACTTGCGCCGGCTGTACAAACGCCAACCATTCCCTCACCTGCGCCTCGTACTGACGGACTAAACACGGTATATCATACTGCAAATGCTCAAAAACTACCCAGTTCCGGCTCTTCCAAATTCTCCATAGCAAAGCCACCGCGCGCACAATCCGCTCCGTCCCAGCATCCTGCTCAACAACCCTATGGAAGAACAAAGCAAAATTAGACACCCCAGCCATCCCTTCCACACCTGTCACACCCGAGCGGTTCCAAAGGGCCGCCGCGACTCTACAAGACGAGACCCTTGAGAATTTGGTTGTTGTATTAGTTAAGACAGTTCGATTATAATATTATATTCCGTGATTAGTAAATTTTAAGGTTATTTAATTTGATAATTATCATATTAACCATTTATACCGTTATACCCGGGGTGATTATATAAAAATGGGCCGTTACTGATAAGAACAGCCCATACAACAACTGGCCCATTTCATATCTCTCCAACTCCCAACTTGGCTCACAAGTCGAGCGCACAACGCAGCGAGAGGAGGACCGGTTTGTCTACCACTTCGCCGCTGCTAATCAAAGGTTTTCCCGGTGAAGACTTTTTAAAAGCAGGGAGTTTGATTCCTTACTCCTCCATCTCCCAAATTTTCAAACTTTTCCCCGCATAACGGTCGCTCCTTGGCTGGCTCCTCTCTCCGGCTAGCTCGCCGAAATGCAGAATGCTCTGAACCTCAATTTCGACCCTCTCCCCTCACAACGGCACCATGGGCTCTTCGAAATTTCAGCGACGATTCGCCCTTCACCGTTACTTTTGTCCCGAACCCAGATTCATCTCCCAGTTATTTGCGCAAGAAAGGCCAAGAGGGGATCTGGGCATCACAGGGTAGCCGAGACTCTGCCCAAATTGGCCTTCTCAATCGGTTCCAAGCTTAACTTGCTCCCCGAACCGCTGGGTCTGATTCTGGCGGAACTCAGCACTTCTGGAGATGGCGGCGGTAAAGGTGGGTCCGGGTCTTGGATGGGTTTCGGCGGAGGCGGAGGAAGCGGATGGGGAAGAAGGAGAGGGAGGAGAAGCTCGTTGGTTCTGTTAGGGTTGTTTCTGGTTTCCGGTGTCGCCATTGTGTTGTTTTCCTCTGGCAAAGTAGATAAAGATCTGATCATTGGAGTTCTGACTTCGGCCCTAGTTTCTGCAATTTTGGTAGAAGGGTTTGGTAGAGGCGCCAGGGATTTGCTTCTAGGGTTCTGCATCTTCGGCGTTGGAGTTACTTTGGGCTTGAGAAGAGACGATTTGCAGAAACTGGCACAGAAGCAGGGATTCACTGTCCCCTCAGTTTTGCAGCTTAACAAGGGAAGAAGAATGAGAAGAAAACACAGTTCAAGACTTTGGTAACTTACCATGGTTAAAAACTGTTCTTCTATAAGTTCCCTTGCCGTTACTTTTTTGTGCTTGTATTGCAATTTTGGAGATGAGACATGAAACTGATTCTGGTTTGTAGTTCTCTCATCAGATTGGATGTTAATGATATGAAAATACATGCATTGAGCGATGCAAATCCTGAAATTCTCAACTTACACTGAAATTCATGTTAAAGGTTCATGACAATGTTCAATACGTATGATAGTTCCATTCCCAACAAATAGAAGATCCAGAAAGGAAAGGAAAAAATTCTACGCCACATGATCATTTAACACAGACAAACTACAGACCACAATGATCATATAACAAACACCAGCCAATTGGTCCTGACTTGCTTTGACCCAGAACATACTAAAGCCAAAAGAAACACATGATAGATTTATGAAGCAGCAGAAGGTGGAATAAAAGGGTTCAGATGCTGGGACAAGTCATTTTTCTTTCATCAAGGAAGTTCTGACATTTGACACACAGCAGGCATGTTGTTCCACGGACAAGAGCCAAGTACCCATCCTTGACTTGGGGCGGATGATGTTCCTGCAGCAGCCATCTGCTTATAGTCACTGCTCAGATCATCACCCAGGAGAGCTGCTATTGCATCGGTCATCACGACCTGATCCTTGCCACCGTAGCCACTGCCAGATCCTTGTTCAAGCCAGTCAGAAGTGAGTAAAGCATCAGGGCTTGTAATAGTGTCCCTTTCCCTTTCTCTTTCTGGGGTCAAGGCTCGATCTGCAGCTTCTGACTTGATCTCACACCCTGTAAGAGAAAAGTAAAGTGAATATACTTAAGGGATGCAACAAAATGAAAGCTTGTGACTTAAGAATCAGCACAAACCAAGATCAATTACAGAGACATTCTGAATAGGATTGTCATAATGTTAAAGAAAGAATGCTTCCAAAAAGTAATCAAGAGTGTTAATAAACACAAACTGAAGAGAAACCATACCAGTGACGGTCTCTATATGTGGTTTTTGTTCATCTAATGAACTGCCACTGGCACTGATTGGAGTGCATTTACTGAGAAACGAAGTTGCAGTAGTATGGCCCAAGGGAGAAAGAGGGTCGTTATAGTTGTCCCATTCTGCTACATCACAAGCATTCAGGGTTGAACTGTCTGCAATATCATCAGGGGTAACAGTTGAGGAATTCGAACTCTTCTCGGAAGAATAATGATTCTTAGCACCACTTAGAGCTTTGGCCTCATGAAGTAAAGCATCCAGTAGGCCACTATTGCGAGGAGAAGGGCTATTCGACCCAACGGTAGTGCCAGCAGTAGGTGGCGATTGGATAAAAGTATCAACCGATTCAAGGAGAGGCGGTGGAGAATATATTATTCCCCAGCTACCGGAATCGATATATTGGAGTGAAGGGAGCTCCAACTTCACAGCCCCAGTAGAAGGCTTAGAAGCAGAGAAATTGTTGCCATATGAAAGGGTATGGCCACCCTGAGCATCATCAAGTGGTTGCTGTTGTTGATTCTTGTTGATGTCGTTTGGATCAGAATCAAATGGGAAAGACAAGCCAAAGGACTCAGAAAACGAGAAGTCATTTCTCCCACTACCACTGTATAGAGGAGAAGTAGATGATTCCCGAAGCCGTTTCTGACCATGATGTATTAATGGAGAACTGAAGCTACCATATTGAGACGAGCCCCCCAGCCCTTTCATCAGCATGCCACTTGGAGTAATAATATCAGCAAGTTCAGGGACAGAGTTAGATATCCTCCCCTGACTGGGTTTCAATCTGTCAAATGTGACATCAGGGATCTCAGGGATCTCATAGCAGTTGCGGAAGAGGTGGTCGTGATGCCCTTTAGATCTGCAATCCGCCCCACCTATTTTGAAGCTCCGGTGACCATCCCGATAAGCACAAGAGGAGACTTCAGGGGGGTAAAGAGGTAAACCAGCCCTTTGACGTCTCTTGATTCTGGTGTTCCAGTAATTCTTTATTTCATTGTCCGTACGTCCAGGCAACTGTAAGAGGCAAAAGTGACCTTAAGCTAACAAAGTTCAACTTCTAATCGTGGAACATGTTCAACATTCAGTTTCTGCATAATTTCTAGAGAGCTCAGCAGGAATATCATGCTTCTTTCAGATTTTAAAGTAGAATGCAGCAAATTGCAAACTGTTTAGATTACATAACTCGTTATGAACATAAACAAATTCCCTGATTAGAAGAAACAGTCCAATCAAGTGCCAACATGTGTCAACATGCGTAATTGTCCAATATGGCCAACCCTAAGGAAGAGATCTAGCAGTGGTGGTGGATGGAACATGAAGATTATTGTCAAGAAACTTTCCAATGAAAAGGCAAGAAAGTAGAGAACCGCATGGTAAATGACTTCCAAAAAGTACAAACTAGGTAAACCAGCAGCCTAACACTGCATCAGTTTTACGCCTTCGATGAAAGTCTAACGGCTTCTGACAACTCACACAGAAGGAACATGAAGGAGAAAAATCATCAGGTTAGTTGTACTTTAAGTACAGCCATAAATTCAGACTCAGAGATCTAATCAAAACAACTTTCAGGTAAGATCTCATCAAGTAACACAAAACCAATCCATCGATGAGAAAAGCTGTTGGCAGCTAAAAGGGAAACTATATAGACTTACATGAGCAGCCACGCGAGCCCACTTATTCCCCATTTTGGAATGAAGCTCGATAATTATCTGCTCTTCTTCCTGGGTAAATGCTCCTTTCTTCAAGTTTGGCCTGAGGTGGTTGGCCCATCTCAACCTACAGCTTTTCCCACAACGAGAAAGACCAGAATGCTTCTGAACAGCATTCCAGTTTCCTTCCCCGTGCTTCTTCACATACTCCATCAAGATTGCGTCTTCAGCAGCTGTCCACGGACCTTTCTTGAGATTCGTTTGTCCGTTTACATTTCTAGTAGAATTTCCTTCTTCGGTCAATGGAGATTCTATCTGATCCTTGGGGAGAACATAATCTTTGCCTTCATTTGTCATACGACTCATCTCCTTCTAGTAAAGGCAAACACCATATCATACAGCTGAAAATCATTCAATCAAAAAGGACAGAAATCAAGGGTGAAAAGCAAAAGGAAAACACTAAATAAACGTGAAGGCACCGCCTTTTTCTCCTGAACTTTCAATACTTGCACTCAATCTCTCACACACGTTCAATCTCTTTCAAAAAACTCTTTAGAGAAACACAGCAAACCAGAAGTCCCGTAAAAGTATCCATAGTTTATGGGAAAGAAATGAAAAGGGAAGCCAAAGCACATAGAAACAAATAGGATTATGCTAGCAATGGATATGACGGCCAAGACCACAAAATTCACATTGTATTTTTCAGAAATAGATAATTAATAGCTAAAAAATGCACAATCGAGTGACCAACCAGAATCTCTAAAAAATGTTAACCTATGGTGATTTGTCGCAATGTTAATAATTAACAACTATGTAGAAAAGAACTATAAGCCCAGAGATGGAAATGGAAAATAGAAAACCCTTAAAACTATAGAAGCCAGTGTATTTCTATTATATGAAGATCATAAAACAAACAGGTGTGAAACCATCACTTGTAACTCAAATTATGTGCATCCGTCTAACGAAATGATCACTTTACAAACCGAAAAGTCTAGGGAAAGAGGAACAACCCAACAATTATAAGTTGCAACGCTGATAAATCAACCTAAGCCGCCCACTTCACACGATTAATCAAACAGATGGAGCTGAAAAATGACAGCATACTGTCGTTCTGTGTCACAGAAACTACAGATGCAAGCTTAACTAATTTGATGTTTTCTTCTCACGGTTTAGTCCGTCACAAGAGACAAAACTAACTACCAGTTCATTTTTCTCAGGTAAAAATTCCTCTAAGGGAATCGCATTGGCATACCTGAAACGCACCAAGATGGCAAAACAGATTGCTAACAGGTTTGCTTGACCAAAACACGACGTTTTTTTATTGTAAAATGAAGTCCCAAACCCTAATAAAGCTGAAGAAGGATGGTATCAAATTGATAAAATTAGACACAAGGAGCTCTAAAATCCAAACATTCAACATCCCCTAAGCATCCAAAAGGAAAGAGAGCTGATGAAGTAACCAAAAGGGAGAGGTAAACCGATTGCACACAACATCTTTTGTTGACCAACCAGAATCCCCATCTCCATATACGGAAAACAGAGCACCATTTATTGCAGCCATACACACATTAAATACGAAGTCATTGAGAAGAGGCAAAACAGAATTCGCGCTATGTCGGACTTGAAATTAATTACCATTAAAAACACTCTAAACACAAAATCCAGCTACTGCAGACAAGGAAAAAAAGCCATTGTACGACAATACCAACGAAAACGAAAGCGACGACTGAAAGGACAAAAAAAAAAAAAAAAGGAGGTACCTGAATCAGTGACCAAGATGCCAATATAGTGAAGCCCGCAGCTTTTTAAGCCGCAATTGGACCCCCTCTTGACAAAATGTTCAGAGATGTTGGACGAAGGAGGTCTGGGACGATAGCAAGGCAAAAATGGAATACCTGTGAACCACAGAAAAGGAAATGAGAAACAACATAATCAGCTCAAATAATCACAACCCAGATGAAGGTTTGCACTTCGCAGCCAATTTTCAAGCACAATTCACAGGAATTGAAGTGCAGGTGCTGCTCATGGATTACCTCAAAATCTAGACCTTAACTTTCCGCAACCAACTAGGGGAGGGGAGAAACGGGAAATGGAGCAGTGCTCAGAAATGTTTATCCTTTTTACCAGTTAGTTCTCAGCAGATCCGAATAGAACAGAAACCCTAGCTAGCTGGCGCAGCCATAGAGAAGAAGAATGACCCAAATGGTCAAAAGAAGAACAACGAAAGACGGAAGAGGAAGGAAGCAGAAATAGAGAAGCTGCAGAGAAAGAGTGAGAGAGAGAGAGAGAAATGGAGATCTTCTTCGTTTGCTAACCTCAATTTCTGGAGAAGCACAAATAAGATCTGAGCATGGAATGAGCAAAAC